TATTCTGTATATAGTAGATTCTAAACCAAATTTGACAGCTACTACAATTTGTGGTGTTGTCCTAGAATCAAAATCATGTCCTTTGGATGATCCTGAATTTGATTGGAATATTAATATTGATAATAATTCTGATACAGTTATTACTGAAAATGAAACACAAGAACAAATAAAAATTTTGCAACTAACAGATATTCATTATGATCCTGCTTATGAAGTAAATGGTAATTCAAATTGTGGAGAACCAGTTTGTTGTCGAAAAGGACAAAATAAAACTAATGTAAATTCATTAGCTGGATTTTGGGGAGATTACGAATCTTGTGATACTCCTTGGCATGCAATCACTGATGCTTTAACTCACATAAAAGAAACACATCAGGTATTAATATATATGTTTAATATAAGTATTTTAAAATAAAAGGCAAATTAATAAAACAAGTGATGATTCTATATAAAACTCAAAATCCTATTCAAAAAAGTATATACTCTTAAAATGTTATTTTTTTTTAATTTAATATTGGAATTACTAATTATTATTATACAATAAATTAAAAGTAGTATGAAATTTAAATTTCAAATAAAACCTGTTTTAATTCATAGGATATTGATTTTATATATTTTACTGGCGATATAATAGATCATGGAGTATGGGAAACTTCTAAAGAAGGAAATATACAAAGTCTTGTAAAAATTTATGATAAAATGCATGATATTTTTAAAAATATTGTGCTATATCCAATATTTGGAAACCATGAACCTCATCCTCTAAATCAGTGAGTCTGAATGAAATTTCCTACTAAATCTTTTATAATATATACAAGGTTGTTTGTAATATTTGTACAAAAACTTATCAGTGGATGTAAGAGGAATTCTATAGGAAACGTAAAAACTTAATAGTTAAGAAAATACTGTTAATTACAGTTGCTAACTTTTTTTTATTTGTTATATCTTAATCACTTAAATGAATTTTTATTTTCAGAATTATTAATCGTAAAAATATATGATTTTCTTTTTGCTTTATCTGAAATGATTTGAGCTTCCTAAATATACGTATATTTTCTTTAAAAATTGCTTTACATGTTCATTTAATTGAAACCTGTGAACCTGAAACTTAATCATTTCTGATAAGCAAATTTATTTAACAGAAAGCTGCGAATGAAATCAATAAACAATTCTAAAAAGAAAAAAAGTTTTAAAGCCATGCTTCTAAATAAAATAAAAAAAGCATTATACTCATATGATACACAATTCCAAAAGCAAAAATTCATTTACACATGTCATAATTGACCAAAATCAATAACCCTTTTAAAGTTTCTAAAGTGTATTTATATGATACTTTGTGTTTGGAATTACTTCTTGAATTGACTCATAAATTTTTATGCAAGCATATTAAAAAAAAGTATTTTAATAACACACTACATCATTTTTCTGTCTATTTTTTTCAATTTTCTAAGTAAATAAAGATATATGAAATAATATTGATTACTATGATTTTATATATTATTTTGATATTACCTTAATGTTAATTTATGTGTTTCCAAATTATACACAGATTTGCACCAAGAAATATAACACAAAAGGATTTAACTACAAGGTGGCTTTATGAATTAATGGCTGATCTATGGATTGGTTACGGTTGGTTACCAGAATCTGCACGTTCTACTATACTTCAAGGAGGATATTATACTGTTACCCCCAGAAAAGGATTCAGAATTATAGCCTTAAATAGTAATGCTTGCTATTCTTATAATTGGTATGTGAAATAAATATAATTTTGTAATTTTACAAATGTAAAATTATGTAATATAATTTGCATATAATTTTACAATTATTTTTTTCTATTTAGGTGGCTTTTGTATAATCCAAAAGATCCTGATAATCAATTACAATGGCTTGCGAGTACTCTTCTTGAAGCAGAAAAAAATAGTGAATTAGTGCATATTTTATCCCATATACCTGCTAACAGCAACAGCTGTTTAAAAACATGGAAACGAGAATACTTGAGAATAATTAATAGATTCTCCCATTTAATCAAAGCTGAATTTAATGGGCATACTCATAATGATGAAATAGCAATATTTTATAATTCTGATGCAATAACAAAAAATGTTGCCTGGAATGGTGGTAGCATAACTGCTTATTCAAGATTAAATCCAAATTATAAAATTTATACAGTAAATAATAGTAATTATGTAAGTTATTATATTTTCTTACAGTATACTAAGGAAGTTAAATAACTAAGGAACAAAAGAAACATAAATAAAAATTTACTTTAAAGTAAAAGTAATAGCGAAAGAGACAGTCACATTCACTAATTTAACTAAACACTTTGTACTACATCATTAAAACTGAAATGCATTAAAATTTTTATTTATAGGCAGTGAATGATTACGAAAATTGGATGTATGATCTCAGTACTGCCAATAAGAATATACATATAAAACCAACTTGGTACAAATCATATTCTTTTAAAGCAGAATATGGCCTTTCAGATTTGTCTGCCACATCTTTAAGCAATTGGCTTTCTCTAGCAGTAAAGAATGACACATTATTAGACACGTATTACAGGTAAGATACAATTAAATGAAAAGTTGTATTGCAAGAAACAGTACTTATGTCGTATAATTATCAATTTAGATACTAATTTCTGCAATAATGTTTTTAAAGATTAAAATTACTTGTTTATAAAAATGTTGATCACATGCACAATTGAAATAAAAAATTTAATTTTGCTGTATAAGCTTAATATATTTGTCATATCAATTTCATTTAATTAATAACATTTACAAATCCATTAATACTATTAATGAGCTTCATTTAATGCTTTGCAAATCTACCCACTGTGCTATTGACCTATGAAAAACTTTATCTGATGGAATTTTATCAAATATATTAGTCTGAAAACGAAATACTTAAATTAGAATATGAACATAAATACAATAAAATTTCATAACAAAGCATAAATATTTTTCATTACCTGTTTTCTAACATAAATTACGAGTGTTTCGAGATGTTCTGGATTGTTACATTCCAAGCGAAAGAATCTTCTCCACAATGCACCTGCTAATACTTTGTCATCTGACATAATTCCTTCATCATAACCAATCAAAGCAGCATTAAATTGATGTGATAACTCTGTTATAGTTTTCCTTTTCACTTTTCCAGGTATTGGCTACTCAAAAAAATTATAATTATTTCATACAATAAATTGATTCCTAATGAAATGAAAATCAAGTTAGAAATATAAAATTAAAGTATAATTTGAACCAGAGTAAATTAAAATATAACAACAATCAATGATTTACTAATTACTCACACCTAGTAGATCTGCTCTCAAAACAACATCATGCCACATGGCCTCAACAATATTTTTAATAACAATTTTACCTCTTTCTCCTTCAGCCATAAAGCGTACCATTAACAACCAAACATGTAATTCAGTGATTAAAAACCAAGAATAAAATGTGTCTGGCATATTGAAACCTAATAAATACAAATAATATTGCATTGAGGAAAGAAGTATAAATTTAATTAAATTGAATTAATAAGAAATTAAAATGAATAATATACCTTTAAAAAATACTGAATAGTTAAGTTGGTCAGGAATGTCACCATACAAGTGATAACCT